GCCAGGTGTGGTGGCAGATTACTGTAGCCCCAGCTACTACTCAGGAGGCTGAAGCAAGAGGACTGCTTGAGCCCAGGAGTCTGAGGTTGCTGTGAGCTATGATCATGACAGAGCACTCTACCCAGGGCAACAAAGTGAGACTGTCACACACACAAAAATTCTTGCCCCTACATGCATCTGTGCCTCTTGCTTCCCCGCCACTGTGAGGCATGCCCAGTGGAGGGGAGGCTCTTCTAGGCCAGCTAGTGCCCTCTTCTACCCACAGGGGTAACTGGGTGTGCCATGGTCACACAGTCAGAGCACTTTGGACTTGAACTTCAAAGACAGGCACCTAAGGTGGTGAACCTCAGCCCTCATGGGCTGCACATTCCCCAGCACCCTCTTACCTGAGTGTATGTCTCTCATGGCCACGTTCATTTATTCCTTCCATACTCGTCTGCCAAGTTCCAGCTCTGTGCCAGGCACAGCCCTTGGTGCTGATGCTGCAGAGGTGACTAAGACCTATCTTATGCCCTTTGGCAAGTCACCATCAAGGAGGTGAGAGAGTCAGGTGAACAACACGAAGTGCAGGTGTTTCAGAAGTGGATATACAAAGTGCTTTGGGGACACAGGTGGAGTCACCAGGTGTCTGAAGGAGAGAAGAGGTCACAAGGAAGTGATCTGAACTGAGTCTGTCTTTTTTTTTTTTGAGACAGAGTCATACCTCATTGCCCTCAGTCAAGTGCTGTGCTGTCATACCTCACACCAACCTTAAATTCTTGGGCTCAAGTGATCCTCTTATCTCAGCCTCCTGAGTAGCTGGGACTACAGGCACCCACCACAACACCTGGCTATTTTTTTAGAGATGGAGTCTCGCTCTTGCTCAGGCTGGTCTCAAACTCCTGAACTCAGGCAATCCACCTGCATTGACCTCCCATAGCGCTAGGATTACAGGTGTGAGCCACTGTGCCCAGCCTGAACTGAGTCTTAAAGGATGGGCAGGGATTCTTTAGATTGGGAAGGGGGTAGTGTAAGCTGAGGGAGTGAAGGTGAAGATCACCCAAATGCCTAGATCTAGGGGCACTGCCTGGAAGACAGTGGGTCCCCACTTCCCACTCTGTCTGAAGGAAAGGCAGCTGGGCTACGTGAACAGCTCTGCCACCCAGGCCCTTGGCACTCATGGATGGCTGCTTCCCTTCCCTGGTGTCCCCAGGGC